ACACTATCACCTAAGTATTTAGATTTCAATAACTTCAACCAATGCGTATCATGTTTCTGACTTAGTTTCTTCCTATCCTCAGCTCTTGGTGGCCAATTAATATATTCATGGTTCATAAAAGATGGATAGCACTCAATTCCTTCCTCACCAGCCCAATCGAAATCTATTAACATTCCTTGATATTGACCTTAAGATTTGTTAACCAAAATGTTGGAATCACGGAGGTCAGCAAAGACGATATTTTCCTTATGCAATTTGCTGATAGCTTCTTCAATATCCTTGAAAACCGTTTTACACTCATCATGACTAAGCGAGCTACCACAGTTGTAAAGTGGCTTGGCCTTAACATAATCTATCACTACCATATAAAAACCATCCACCACTTCTTTGTTAACGTGGAGTAATTTTGGCGCTTTTCCAATTTCGCTACATAATTCATGTGCCCTCTGATTATAACGCCACATGAATTTAACAACAATCTCCTGCCTATCCTTTGTTATAGCTTTCCAAAGAAGCTTGTCTGGCTGATCTATAAGCTTTTTTTCATATGTAAATTCTATAGTTATATCTTGTTGTTTGTATTAATTTGGATAAGGAAAAAACTGCTGTGAATTTTGTGGATTTGAAGGTGCATCTAGCGATCCATAATACTCCTTTAGCCTATTAACTCCCAAACACAAAGCTTTGAATAGTCATGCCACTCGCTCTGCGTGATCTCGAATGTTTGTAGGAATAAGAGGTATGAAGTCCGTCAAGGGATCTACGATGGGTTTCTCAACGTATACTGCTCCTAAAATACATACCCAAGGTCCAGCTAAGTATAAGATAAAAGACGGCCAGTTGCATTGTTTGAGCAATTCCTCATTTTTCTCCTGGGTATAATATTTCGCATAAGAAACTCCAGCCTGGGTAGTCAGATCACATTTGTCAGTACCAATTTCATTTTTTATCTCAGCAAGTAGGCGTAATACACTCAATGAATGGTAATTACATTCCAATGTACCATCATTTGAAGAATCATCATCTAGGTGAATTATTTTTAATTCTTCGCCGAACAATTGTCGAAATTTTTCTCTAAATTTTTTAGAATGCTCAGATTCATTCTGATACATTTTTGCTATTTCATAGATGAGTTCAAGAGTCCATTGATAATGTTCTTTTCCCATTTCTAGATCTTTGTTATGATAATCACGCAGGAACTGATTGAAAACATCATTGTAAACTTGTACTGGTGGGCCAACGCATTCTGGAGGACGGTGAATAAGTAAT